ATAATTAATAAAACAGTAATATTACCCTGAACTCTATAAGATATCTAATTGGAGAAACTGTGAACATGCTGATGAACGGTTATGTTCTGGAATAAACATATTCCATGAATTATTCGACAATTCGATTAACCACTAATTGCTCAAGAAGACTGCATGGCATGGAGTTGGCTATTTATTGAATTAAATATTTCTGCTTCTTGTGGATATTAGAGCAACAATTTGAGTTTATAAGTGTTTTGTTAATATTTTGTAATTGATCAGTATACAATGGAAATAATTAACTCGTGATTCAGGGGTTTCCTGATAAGTTCCTAGTAGCTTAACTTGAAAATTAAGCCTAAGCCTATTATGGAACCTGAAGGTTCATAAACTTGTTGACAAAATCCCGCTGCTGAACCTTATTCTGAGACAATTTAAAGTAATACACTTCCTAAGGCCAAATGTTTCTAATATTTATTTCAATGGTATTCTTCCCTTTACATCTGGACCTCGCAAGCAGCTTCCACCCTCCATTTGTCTTCCCAACATGTCTTACATACCCACCCAGTACAATTCTCCTAAATCTGATAAACCCAATATTTTCTCAATGGTACAGAAACTGGAGTTTTCATTTGTAATTGCCTCCAACCTCCTGATGTTTCTCTTTTTCATACCCAACAATTCTTTTCTAGAAAATCGGTTCATAGATGGTTCTCAGCCTTACGCGCCGGCCGCCATTTACCCCCAAGAATATTCCTGGTACTCATTTCTGTTAGAGGCTGAGTCGACCCCCGGGCCATAACGCGGCTGGAAGGATTAGGTAAATTGAAAAAAAAATCCACCTCATCGGAATTCGATCCCGCGACCTTCCGGCTTCTAGCATGGTGCCTCAACCAACTACGCTACCGCGTGCCCACTTTAACTGAGCTAACAAAGCAATTCCATACAGAAGAATTTCTCTTGAGAAGCAAACAGTCGCTCAGACGCTCAGGAGGTTCCTTGTCCCATTATGGAACACAGCTTCCGCACATGCGTACATAAGAGCACATAAAAACAATGGATAACTAACATTTCGAAAATAAATTATTCTTCTTTTTATGTTACGTTGTTCTGTTGTTTGTCGGTTTTACACTTGCAATCTTTTGATCACTAATTTTAAAATTTATAGGAATAACACTTGCCAAGAGCTTAAGGGCATTCCCTACCAGTACAAAAAGAAGGGTTCTCTCATCACATTGTCCCGCTGTTATACTTTGCGCAACAGTGGATCAAGTCATCTGTTCTCTACGCTGTCAGTAAATCAACTGCTAGTCGGAAGCCAAGTGTGACCAATACAAAAGAATTCGCAGACAGGTTTGCCCCTGGAATAACATGAATTCTACGAATAAAACTGCAAAGACATAACAACGAAATATAGCAGTAAGGACTAGCTTTTTCTTCCCCTTTGTCTTGTCTACTACATTGGTTGCTTCACTGATTCCTTCTCTCCCTCTTCTGCTCCTTTTCAGTAAGGGATGGGTTGCAGACAAGGGGATTGAACTCTGCCTCCCATCTTTCTGTTCTCTCTTTTCACTCTTGGTCATTTCCTTGGTCGTTGTGCAAAGGACTGAGGCCGGAAACTACTTCGTCCAAGGACAACGATCTTCATTTTGTTTCTTCGTACCACTTGCGGTCTCTAGGGACTAGTTGAGTTTCTTGGCCACTAGCCAATTCGGCCCGTTGCTATCACAGGCGAGCAATCGTACCCCTCACTGCTACGGCTTCCATAAACAAGCCATCTTGATAAGTGTCGTGGGGAATTTCGCTTGAATCAACTGTTGATAATTAAATCAGATCTGTCAGACCTTTCTTTCCTGCACAGTGGTACCACAAATTCTCTGGTTCTCTTTCCCTTCATTCTTGCTATATATACTCTGAAGATGGCTGTCTTATAAGATTTGGGGCCGTGTAGTCTGATAGACAGTTATCAACGTTTCGGAGGAAATGCTGCCTCAGTATTCAGGGTAGAAAGTAACCTTACTCCTTTAGCCTAAAGATGAAGACACGTCCCAGAAGATATTTCTATCCAAAGACGCAAGAAGCTGAAATTTCATATTGTTCACTTTGTTTAAAGTGTGACAAAGACGATTTATGATATTGACAACCTCGCCGACACCTTACAATACAAACAAAAGAAAGTCCGTGGCCTGTAGTCGTGAAGCGAACTATACCGACCGAGCTACCGCCGCTTGTCGGCGAAGTTAGTACCAACTTTTGCGGGTAGAGGGTGTTTATGTGCTCAGCGCAAGAGATTCCTACGGCCATTAATCTCGGTTCTCTACAAAATTCTGCAGGGGTTTGCATTCGTTTGGAGGTCTGAAGTGTTATCCTTGAGCTTAATTGAGTCAGTTAACTGTAAAGAGGAAAATGTTCAGTTGATGAAAAGCGTCCTTTATCCTCTCTTGATCTTATTGTTTCAATTAAGCACCACACCATGAAGACTTGTGGCGAAGTAAAGATATAGCTTCATACACTGTCAGTCTTGACACCAGGAAGATCTGAGTTGTTAGCTTCATGCTTCGGTCGCTTTACACTTAAGAAAATAGACGGGGATTACTCGTTATATGGGAAACTCATTGGGCCCCAAAGCAGACCAGAATAGGATGGCGAAAAGAAAAATGCTATCCCTTACGAGCATCAATCATTAGTAACACAAGGTTTTATTAATTTTTTTAGTATTCCTCTGATTAACGTAAGCCGGACGGAAAGGACAATGGCTTAGCTGTCTATCTCTCTTCCCTCATATTTCATCTACATAAACGTGTAAAGTTCTTTTAACCCTAGAGTAGTTGCCCTCGCTATGCATGAATATTGTTAGAGGGATGCAAATTTGGCTTTTGATTTCCAGTACAACTCTCTGCCTTATATAAAACTTAAAAACACGTTACTTTTTCAAAATCAGAAGATCACAAAAACATTAGTACACTAAGTAAAATTCATTGAGGCTTTTAATGCCTATTTGAAACAACCCTGTATTGATATGGAGCATGCTGAAAGAAATGATATACATAATAATTCATGAGTATATTGAATGTTACATTATAGCCATACCTTACAATATGTTTAAGAACGACAGCATTTTTGTATCTAAACCATTTAGCAGTTGTGAAGAAATATATTTTTGTCGTCCATAAATGAAAAGATGAACTGGTGATATAAAAATATGCAGAATAAGGATCAAGAGCGTAAAAGTTTCTGCGTCCTTAACTAAGTACCACGCTCTGAATACATACGGGGACGTCGAGATACAAGTTTCCATTCCATTTTCTCCCGCAACCAATGTATTAATATGAATGTAGCCTTGTATGAACCCTTGGGGCAGTGGATAACATTACACTTTGTCGCTAAACTTTCGAAAGACAATGCGATGCACATTTGGCTGGTTGCTTTCACTTGGAAGACGTTGTTGCTATCAGAGTCTGCAAGATGGATTTATTCAACGAACGACCGCGACTCATTATTCGATAAACGTGTATATGAACTTAATTTTACTTAATACATTCATATAAGCCAGTCTGCGTGCATTTTCTTGCCCTGCACACACAGAGGACACAAGCCACGAAGGTAAGCTGAAAGAACACGGTACTTAGCACGGTTATGTTTTGTTCTCTTATAACGGCGATATTCTCCTAAAATGGTTTAATGTAAAGAAGAGGTAGGAAGGAATGAGGGAAGGAAGGACAATAGGAAGACAAATGAAAGGGTTTGGAATGTAACATTGGTGAAGAACTTGTGGAAATAAAGTCTGAAACGCTTACATAGGCTTCCTACCAAATTTTCAATGACCATTAGACTTCATATGTATAGTTTCCCGCATCATCCCTATATTTGTCACGTAGATTAAGATAACACCTCATTCAATTACTAAATGAAAATTAGTACACATATAAAAAGGTCTTAAGTTAGTACCAAGGAAAACAGAACCTTTTGGAAATGTAAAGTGATTACAAATCTTTCGTCAACTCAATTTCTATAAACTTCGCTTCCCTGAAATTAATAATTGGTGAGATAAGTAAAATGTTTTATACCTACCTGTTCCAGAAGAATTATTTTTTTATCTTCAATATAAATTTAAATTAGTATTCTAAACTGCAGGATGATAAGAAATATATAGAAGAAACATAATGTTCGTCATTAATTTCTTTATAAGAAATCGCATGGTTCTCTTTTGGCGAAATGCTGAACAATGACACTACACAGATTTTATTTCTATCATATTCTGCAAACAAAGGAAACAAATTTCATGCTAAGAGAAACACAGACGTTTTACTTTTGTGATCTTAAGGAACAAAAACTATGAAATAATTCAACGTCAGAACTCAAGATGCTGAATAAGAAATCGCTGACAAGTGACAATTCGTGCGAAATGTTTATTCTGCCCGAGTACATACACTTCCCCAAGTTGTGCTTTAGAGTAAGAAACAATGAGAAAATACAGATTACATTTTGCGGTAGAATTCGAGAGGAGAAAGAAATGAGAAATTTCCGAAACAAACAACACACTTGTTTGTAGAACTCACCTTTCGTTTTGACTCCCGAAGGCTCCTTAATGACAAGGTCTATGTTATCCTCGCGCCGCCACAGGACATGTGGAATGGGGTAACCCCGCGCCCTGCATGTCAGCTTCACTGTGCCCCCTTCAGGCACCATCACATCACCAGATGTGTCTTCATTGACGAAGTCAGGAGGTACGACCACATCTAAGTGGCCCATCTGAAGAAGAGAGAGAGAAAAACATTGTTAGTTCAACTAAAATGATCGTGATTTTAACGTATATTTCTGGTATCAGGTCCATATATCTGTGTGTATCCNTGGCAATTCGTGCGAAATGTTTATTCTGCCCGAGTACATACACTTCCCTAAGTTACGCTTTAGAGTAAGAAACAAGGAGAAAATACAGATTACATTTTGCGGTAGAATTCGAGAGGAGAAAGAAATGAGAAATTTCCGAAACAAACAACACATTTGTTTGTAGAACTCACCTTTCGTTTTGACTCCCGAAGGCTCCTTAATGACAAGGTCTATATTATCCTCGCGCCGCCACAGGACGTGTGGAATGGGGTAACCCCGCGCCCTGCATGTCAGCTTCACTGTGCCCCCTTCAGGCACCATCACATCACCAGATGTGTCTTCATTGACGAAGTCAGGAGGTACGACCACATCTAAGTGGCCCATCTGAAGAAGAGAGAAAAAAGAAACATTGCTAGTTCAACTAAAATGATCGTGATTTTAACGTATCTTTCTGGTATCAGGTCCATATCTGTGTGTATCCACTGATACCTTCAAAATGAAGATTCCCTTAAATTTACTGCCAATGTCATATTGCTAAATGACATCATAACGGTATTTTCAAATTCGTTGGAATCCGATTATGATTTTGGCAGATGGTATTGACTCGTGGCCGTAGTTGCTACCTCTCCTTTTGTCCCCACTTCTAGAATAGTCTTCTGTTCAATGAGCACAGGTGGTGAAGCAGCTGGTGCTTGGAAGTCACCATAAAAATGCAGCCAATGAACGGCCGAACTGGTCGAGTGGGTAGCATATCAGCCTCTTATGTAGGAGTGCTTAAATGACGTATCAAGATTTCNGGTGGTGAAGCAGCTGGTACTTGGAAGTCACCACCAAACTGCAGCCAATGAACGGCAGAACTGGTCGAATGGGTAGCATATCAGCTTCTTATTTAGGAGAGCTTCAGTTCACATCTCGGTCTGGAGGCAGGCTATACTGACTGTGGTATTTCTCGGTTATCCTCAGTCACCCTTAGCAAATGCTGAGAGAATACCTTAGATTAGTCTACAGCGGCCTCCACGTGCTGTGCAATTCACTTTCATTACCATTCTACCATTAGTGGTTGAGGGGCTATGCTACAAGCCGGAAGGTCGCGGGTTCAAGTCCCGATGAGGTATTGGATTTTTTCAGTTGACCCAATCATTCCAGCCGCACCAGGCCCTGGGGTTCACTCAGCCTCTAACAGAAATGAGTACCAGGAATTAATTAAATAATTTTCCTGGGGAGTAAAGCGCGGCCGGCGCGTAAGGCTGACAATCTTACCGCCATCTTTGAGCCGATTGTCTAGATAATGTGGGACCCTCAACGCCTCACAACCCTATGGGCTTTACTTTACTATTTCATGCTATGAAGCGAGTGGTACTGAGGGCGCAGTTAAATGAACTATCAAAATTTTAGGACGACTTCAGCGTATGCCTAATTTAAGAATACCACGATCAAGTCCTCTACTTTCCTATACGTCTTCCTAACGGAGAATATGTATCTCTACCAGTACTCTGGGTTCACCCATTCTCTGTTAACTGCAGCTCGAGCAGGGTACGGTGAAACAGGCGAAGTGTGAAGTTCGTCTTTTTCCACGTCCTTCACCAGCCTTCATACAACAGTGTTCGAAAAAGATAAGTTTCCTCTTTCCTCCTGGCCATCAACAATGTTATCATGGCAAATTTGGACTACTGTCGCGGTTTGTGTCCCTTTCTCCAGTGCAGGGTTTCGATAATACTAAACGTTAGGCCACGGCATCTTCCTCCAATGTTCCACTAATTAATCCTTCTCAATCTCATTTCCATTCGGTGTGGATGGAGACGCCTTCCAGGTATGGAGGGTAGCTGCAAATATACTGAATAAACTGTCGCGGACAGCCCACAAGGGGTGATAATGCAGCTTGGGGGTTGGGTGTGGGGCTAAGAACTCCTTACCCTAAAAACCAAGCTTGTTACGAAAGATCAAGAGAGGGCTCTTGTGAACACGGTGATGGACCTTCGGATTTCATAAAATGCTGGAAAGTTCTTGAGTTGCTGCACAATTGGCAGCTTCTAAAGAAGGGCTCAGCTCCATGTGTGAGTGGTATGCAATAGCATTAGATGAGGCAGCATTGTTATACTGTATATACGAAGACATGCGGGGGATTCACATTTATCTTGTAATGACATCTATATTCAAGTACACTTGAACCTTTCAATCACAATTTTTGTCCATAATTTTTTTTCATTTTATGTCCAGTTCCATATGTATACTTACTTATTTCTTTTAACAATGTTAGATCAAGATCCATATTGGATCCATGGGTCGATATCTGTTGAAACAACGCGTGAAATATTTCACTATCATATTTGGCAACTTCTAAAACTACATGCAGAAGAGCATGTGGTGGGTTCAAATATCGTAATGTGAAATCATGTGTCAGGAAACTGAGTAGGTGTACCCTATCTGAAAAGCATTTTCCTACAGCAGTTTGCGGTGGGGCACAAAACTGTCTTGGGCGAAATTACATCTTTTTGTGTGCTGCTCCTGTTCCTAAGTAGAGGCTTATTTGTTAGGGGACAAAAAGTAGAGACGTTCCCTTAGTCTGAAGGCACTTGAAGTAGACTAGCCAAAAATCGATAGGGAAATTTATAATAGTCTCTCCTCTGTAGAGATTTTATATGCAAATGAATTTACGAGCCATTATAAAAAGAGTTAAAAGAGACTTCGTTATAAAAGCTTCTCCGTATGAAGCAAATTGCCTTTCAGTGAAGTGTAAGGGTTTCTGTATTTATTCTTTAGTTTATTTAACGACGCTTTCTCAGATGTAACGTATATGTCGCACCAAACGCAATAATAATTTTGAATGCTCAATTGAAAACTACATAGAAGGAACGCGCGGTCTCCTATTTAAAGAATTAGCTCTGTAAAGAAACCATAAAAAACTTCAGCCGGAACAAACCCACAGAGCGCTAGCAAANTAGGCAGTCGCTATACCAACTATGCTATAACGTAACTAGAAGAAAGCTGCAGGAAATTAAGCAATTTGTCTGGAATTGAAGATATGGCCAAACCAAATGGGGGATGTAAGATACTGAACGTGTGAGTGCCTTAGCCCACCACACAACAAGCCTTATTTAAATAATGTCACATGAAGAAGTGACTATCGACGGTATTTTGGATGGGAGAATGGATTTATTGATCATTTATACACACAACTCGGGACTACAAGTAATTAGAGCGCCACCGCTAATCTCCACAATTCATAAATCACAAAAACACCCGCTAAGCCATTTCCAGCCTACTCTGTTTTCACAGGCCGTTTCCTAGCAACGGCTTCTAAGAGTGGAGATTCTTCAGCTTCACGCAATCAAGTTCTCTCTTCACAGATTCCGGTACAGAACTGACTTGTGGCCCCGTTGTTTTTTTTATGATTTCTCGGCACGGACATAGTAGAAAACCCTGTTACCAGAAGTAACACTACTGTTGCGCCTTGAGTGGTTGCTGTTGGATCGTCTTTACCGCGGCGCTGCATGGAAACGGGTCTGATGTATGTAGGTACTTCGCGGTCGCTGCAAAGTAACTGCTCTACAAGCGCTTACTATGCTGAAGTATCCTGTTGCAATGTGTATTCCAACTTCGTGTTCTTACTCCTCGCAGTCTTGCTGCAGGGACGGCACGGAGTTAGAATATGAAGTAGAATTTTAAGTGTACTACTCCCACCATCCAAAATTACTCCATATTTCCGGCAAGAAAACACTGTGTTCCTACATCTGCGTAAATTGCTGCAGTTCAAGAGCACAAGCAAAAAAAGAAAAATGTGCTCGGTATCTGAAATGACGTGTTGGCTAACTAAACTAACTTTATGGAGCTGAACCCTTCTTGAGAAGCATCCAGTTGTGCAGCTTTTCGATAACTCTGAAGGATTTTATGTAACAAAGAGGTTCATTGTTGTGTTCACAAGAGCCCTACAATGATCCCTATTCTCAGCCAGATCGATCCAGTCAACACCATCTCATCTTATCTCTCTAAGATTCATTTTAGCATTATCCACCCACTATTTCTTGGTCTTCCTAGTGGCCTCTTTAAAATCTGGCTTTTTCACCAAAATCATATATGCATTCCTCTTCTCTCCCATTCGTGCTACATGCCGTGTCAAATTCGTTCTAGTTATATTTGGCGAAGAGCACAATCTATGAATTTCCTCATTAAGCAGTTTCTCTAACCTCCTGTCACTTCACCTCCCTTCGTCCAAATATTTTCCTCAACACGCTGTTCTGAAACACCCTCAGTCTATGTTCCTCCTTTAATATCAGAGACCAAGTTTCACACCCGTACAGAACCAGAGGCAAAATTTTAGTTTATACACGTATATTATAATCCTAATGTTTCCATACAGCAGACGAGAAGACAAAATGTTCTGGACTGAATGGTAGTAAGCATTACCCGAGTTCAATCCCCTATTAATTTCTCCTGAATCAGGGTTTGATCTGTTATAACCGTTCCCAAATATCTGAACTGTGCCACATTTTCAAAGTATCTGTTAACTATCTTTGTGTTATGATTTACCCTGCATTCTGGAGATGAGACACCATAATGTACTTGGTTTTCTCTGCGTTTACTTCTAGGCCGACCTCCTTACTAGCATTAGTTAAGGTTTCTCTTTTCTTTATGGCATCTACGTAACATTATCTCCCAGTAGATTCACATCAGCCTAGACAAACAGCTGATGTGTTCCATTTAATTTCAGCCTCACCTGGTTTTCCTGAACCTTTCTAATGACATATTCTGAAACATAATTTGAAAGGAAGTGGTGATAAAGCATCTCCTTGTTTTAGATCATTATGGATAGGAAAATTATCAGAAAATTGTTTACCTATATGGACTTTACTATACGTTTGTTTAAACACATTTTAATCAGCCTAACTAGTTTCATGGGTATACCAAACTCTATCAGAATATTGTACAATATTTCCCTCCTAACTGAATCATAGCCTTTCTTGAAGTTTACAAACGCCGACGTGTTGTCTCACCGTACTCATATTTTTTCTCCAGTATCTGACGAATGCAAAAGACCTGATCAGCAGTTGATCTGTTACGTCGAAACTCACACTGATTATCCCCAATAATTTCATATATGTGTGGACTTAACGTTGAGAGAATTTGAAAGTTGATAGCAGTGATATCCTCCGGTAATTACTAGTCAATTTTATCACCCCTCTTGTGAACTGGTACAATAATGAACTCCTTTCACTGATCAGGCAAGTTTTCCTTATTCCAAATAGAATTAATTACTGCTGACATAAATCTTATATGCGCGAAAAATCCTGTACCTAATTTATGATTCTCATTCGCCTGCTAATTCCGTGCCAACTCCGTCCCATCTGACCTCCTGTACTCAAACTAATCTAACTTATAATTTGAGA